GGGTGTCTCTGAGCTACTGTTCTGTCAATTGTACCTTTATTACAACCTGGTTTTAGCACTGCCATTCAATATTTATGGATGAGTACTAAAAGTTTAATTACCGCGCAAAGAAAACATACAAAATCACTTGTGGTTCCCTGCAAAAAAGCTGAAAACAAGTGTTTGACTCACCAGAGCAGGAGCGTTGACCACAGAGAGGTTGTAGCCATAAAGGAAAGATGAGCCCAGGGAGCCAAAGAAGGCGGCACACAACAGGCAGGCTGTAAGTGACTGCTAATGAGAGAGCACACATGAACACATTATGCTAGTCATGCAGTCCTTTCCACATTGGTGTTGACCAATACCAAGGGCAGAACCAGTCAAGGGAATTCAACCCTGGGTGAGTTGTGTAACTCTGGGCATCAATGCTAAGAAAACAGCTTCTTAAATCCATGCTTTGTTTTTATTTTGTCAATTGTTTCATTTTAGTGCAAAGTCAACACTGTGTGAAATATATTTCTCATGACAACTGAATGTATTATTACTGAAAATGACAAAGGAGATTGGGAATAGGAAATAAACCATATCAAGGCTAAAACTGTGATGACCTGAAAGAAGCTCATTAAACACTTCAATACAAAAGAGAAGGATAGAAATTCAAAAAATGCAATAAAGGGGTGAAAATCATAAAGGTTTGCCCTCAGGGTAGCACATGATGAAAGGAGATAACATCATTAAATTGAAACCATTTTCCATCAGGAGAAGAAACTTGATTAGCAGATTGTATTGCATACTTACTTTATGAGTATCCTCTTGGCAAGGTGCTACGCTCTCCATCAGAAGGTTGTGCAAAATATTAAGTAAACGAGTTATAGAAGACCATGAGTTTCTATCGTGTATAGGTTTACGGGAGAGAAAGGGTTAAATAATGACCAGGAATGTTAGGAATCATCCTCGGGGGACTATACTGGGCTAATCTAGGTGTTTGCTATTACATGTTGCTATAAACCACTGGAGAAGTCTAGTGGCAACAGCAGAGGCACTGAAGAGGCAACAACAACACAACCTCCAAAAAGGGAATGACTTTATACTTGGTAACAACAGTCTATGGCTCTCTCTTTATCCTTATTAGGTGATTTATCTCTTTCTTCTCTTTGCTTTTTGTTAGTGTCTCGAAATGGTTCCGGCAGCCTGGGTTGCACAAGAAGTCCCGCTCCTCAAGGATGACACGTTAATACATGGAGACGGGTCGTGGAACCGTGGAACCATCATCAGCACAGCACTAGGATCTGCTCCTCTGTGTAGGAGGAACAGAAGAAGCACTGCCAGAATACCACAAAAAGACCTCCAGTGGGCTACTTCTGCATGTTTCTGACCAAATTATGATAATCAGAGTCCTTGAGCATGACATGAGGGCCTGACTTCCTGTAATGAGGCCTGTGTTCAAACTTGTGTCATTCAGCTTGATTGGCATTTGCCAGAAAAACCCCAGAACTGGCAGGTCTGCTATTAGCAGCCTGTTCTATTCACAGATGACAGCGTGCTCACATTGAGCAGATGTGACAGATGTGAAAGAGTCTGGAGATGGCGTGCCAATCATTATGCTACCTGCAATATCATTTAACTTGATTGATCAAGGTAAGCATAACCTTGGAGGGTCACACAGATCTCCATGTGTTAGTACCAGTACCCTGACAGCTGTTATGCATGGAGATGAAAACCTCAGATTCACCGTCCGGCCTTACGCTGGTACAATGAGTCCTGGGTTCTCCTAATTCAAGACAATTTCCAGCCAACTGTGGCCAGAGTGTACAGGTTCAGGTTGATTAACGCATTGATACCACTGACTGGCTCTCACTTTCCCAAAACCTGAATCCAATTGGGAATCTCTGGAACATTATGAGTCAGTGCATCCAAAGACACCAAATAGCTTCACAGAGTTCACTAACAGCCTTTTCCAGGTCTAACAGGAGGAGAACCCCAAGGACACCAGCTGCCATCTTATCAGGCTGTTGTTGGGAGCGTATACAGACAACATATGCACTAGTGAGCCACATATTATGACACAAGTTGTATCAGCATGTGTTTTCAATTTTTAACTCTGATTTTTGGTGTGTTTTCAAATGCAGTCGTCAAAGTTTTGACGATTTTCATTTCCACTGACGAAACTTGTTGGGAATTTTTTCTCTAGAAGTTACACAATGTGTGTCAATCACTGTGTTCAACTTGAATATTTCATTCACCAAGATCCAGTGTGTGATTTAAGTGCACATTTTGTAAGTGTAATTAATATTTTAAAACATCATACAGCATTAAGTGAAGGATGATAAGCTTTTCTATGAAGTACCAACCTTGGACCAATAGGCTGCAAAGACGAGCCAAAAAACTGAATGCACAGTATTGTTATCAAGTCCATGAGGATAAGATGCAGTAGAGCTATGAGGAGCCAGTGATTAAAGCTAAAGAAAATGAGTAGTAGACTGTAGATAAAGCTTTAGGAGGAGGAAAGGAAGGAAAAGTAGTGATTCCAGCTCATAATGATAAGCTAAAGGGGTGGGGTGTGGGGAGAGGGGAGGGGAGGGGAGGGGAAGGGAAGGGAAGGATATTCTGGATAGCATTTGAAATTGCATTTGATCCACAATGCTATCTGAGAAAATGAAGTCAAAGTAAAGGAAACCACATCACAGTTAAAGGAGATGAAGCTGAAACAGAATACATAAGGCTACTGCGAGCCTTGAATACGCATGTATAAGTCATCCTTATATATTTTTAATAAAGAGTAAAATCTCAAACAATCGCCTAAAAACCCAGGGAGTAGTGCCATATAGGGGAAATTGATATCTCATATTTTTAAAGGTTAAAAACTCACTGATAGTAGCATCTTTCCCACAGTCCCTTAAAAAATATGTCCCAGTGACGCTGAGAGTTCTTTTCACGTGTCTTTCCATGCATTTCCTTTGTTTGGTAATGGATTCTCTAGAGCCCCTTAAAGCTTAATCTTACAAACTTTGAAACAGACATGTGTGCGTGAGGGAGTTGGACTAACAATGGAGCGGATGAGCTACTTCCAGGTACTCACAGCCTAAACCAGACCTTCCCAAAGTGTGGGGCCCGCCCCCTAGGGGGGGCGCAGAGCAATTGCAGGGGGGCGCGGTATGAAAAGGGGTGGAAGAAAGAACAAAACGCTTGGACACTGCTAGCACAGGCGCTCACAGACACGCAAAGCAGGAGATGAAGCATTGCTGAATATGTTTCCAAACCAACTTCATTCTGAGCCAAAGACTAGAAAATATGGTGAAGCATATCTGCCCTTTGGCTTCACCTGCACAAGTGCCGAGGTAGGTTTCCCTGCAGGATTGGTCTTTCCTTCATCAGGAGCACACGCTGGGCTCTTCAAATCACGGTCAAACAGTATCCCACAGCTGTTTATGTTTTTGAACCCATTTTGCACAGAGAGGCATTTTTTGAAAAATGTATTGATAGCAATGTTGAATATTATTACACATGAAAAAAAAAAACTACATGTAAAACCTGCAGACAGTCAGATTAACAGTATTTTGTCTCTATCTGCCATTCTGCAATTCATCTCATGTAAAAAAATAACGTGGCGCACAGCGTGACGTGAAAAAAGTCACATACCTTTTAACTTGTGTGACCAACTCTGTATTCCTCTTCCACATGTAAACGCAAAAAAGGAGTTTTAAAAAATATCAGTTTTCAGTGATTCGAAATGCCGTTTACGTGGACGAAACAGCTGCGTTTTCAAAAATACCCGTGTAGGTGTGGACATAGCGTAAAAGAGAGTAATTTATTTTATTACTACCTGTAATTTATTGCAGATTACTTGTATTTGCTTAATTGTTTACTAGGTGTGAAATAAACTGCAATGGAGCAAAATATGTGTGTGGTTGGAGGATGTGTGCGTGCGCGCGTGCACGCGCGAGAAGGGGGGGCGCGAACATTTTTCTTGTAAAACAAAGGGGGCCCAGCAAAAAAACTTTGGGAACCACTGGCCTAAACTATGTTCTCAATCAGGGGCTCAGTGTGACAATCACTTTGTAGCATCTGTGAAGAGTTGGGCGCAAATTCCAACAAGACTAATTTTTTTTCTTTTCATAAATACAACAATACACAAATGACAAAGTTTCCCCAAGTGGCTTTGACACCTATACAGCATTTGACATCCACTGTCGTCAGTAACAAGCAAACACACAAATTTGTGCGATTTGAGTACTTGTCAGAAAATAAGAAAAATAAACACCCAGCAAAACATAAAAGAAAAGGACCAATTAAATTCTGTTTATCCTAGAGCACATTTCCATCCATCCAGTGTCTTCTGTTTATCCAATTAAGGCTCTCAGCTGTCATAGGGTGAAAAGCGGGGAACACCCTAGAAAGACTGCCAGTCCATTGTAGAGCTAACACAAAGACAAGAACCATTCACACTCACATCAACACCAACGGACAATTTAGAACTGCCAATGAACCTAATCCAATGTGGACTGTGGGAGGAAGCCAGAGTACCCAGGGAGAACCCACATACGCACAATGAGAATATGCAGATACCCTCAAAGCTCACACAAATCTATGCATTTTAGACATAACACTGTTTCTGCAGAAGTGGACAGGCCAGAAAAATAAATAAAAGTAATGAAATATGCAGATCCACTGACAGACTTTATTGCAACATAATTTTAGTTTTTATCTGAAGAAGGTTACCACTAAAGCTGATGTCATTTTAGATCAAAAAGTGGGGCTCCAAGTTTCAGCAGCAGGTTTTAGGGGGAAAAGCTGGAAATGTGTGTGTTTCAGTTACAAAGGTCGTGTACATATTTACTGAGGTGCAGTATCTTCACAGCTATGTAATGTCCACGGATGACATAACGGGTTAATGTATGACATAGCAGCCAAATAACAGGGAAACCAGAGGTCTATATAGTACTATTAGGACAGGGCTGTTCCTCCATAAAGCAAAGACATGATTGTCTATATTATAACATTTTTCATGCCAGAACAACACAAAGAAGTACGTAAGAATCAGTGCCTTAATCTGACTAACCTTCTTTTCAGAGTTGTTAGTGCTGTCGTCTTGGTCAATCTGATCATCCTTTTGTTCGTCCATGTTCACGTGTCAGCGACCTTAAATGAGAAGGCCATGTTATATCACGTGAGATACGTTGTCTATATGGAAAGGAGACGGGACACATTTCACAACGAGGATGAGGAGGAACCGAAAACTAAGTGAAACGTGCTGAAAAAGAAAATGACTTCTTTGTACGGACATGCAGAACATCTTTGCAAGCCAGAAAGCAAACTGGCTTCCTGGCTTGCAAAAGTGTGAAATGTTACCCCAGCTTGAAGTTTTGAGGGGATTTTACCCAGTTGCTCAACAACAGGGGGAATACTGGTCTTGATTTAAAGTACACTTTAATGTCGTTTTCTACTGCTAGACCAGCTGACTGATCAAAGACTCAGTCTGCCACCTAGTGGTTATTAGAACAGCAGCACGCAATCACTGGGCAGTGGAAAACTGGTAGGGTTAAATAAAAAATTACAGGAAGTTTTATCCACCACAGGTTACACGGTGGTGAAAGGGGAAGAAAGAGAACTGTACTTTTTATGAAGCTTTTTTGGGATTCTGAACAAACCAAAGACAAAACCAGAAAGAAGTAATTCATGCAGTACTGATAGGAGTTGATACTGTATAGCAGTCCTCTCTGACTTCAAGGTTAATTACATTTTGCATTCAGACAGTTTCTGAAAAGTAAATTAGTCTCTGACTGGATGCAAATGAAAGCCAGCAGGACTCTGAGTCACAGGGAGCCAGATCAAAACCCACAGCTGTGGATTGAATTCTTAAGAAGACGTGTGACAAATCAGATTGTTCTTGTTTTACCTTCCTAATTTTACGCAAAGGAACTTTTTAATTAAATCAGCTGTTTGATCAGGAGGTCGAATTAGTGATCTGGAAGCTATAAAGTAATAAATGTGATTAATTTTATTGCCAGCCTGAGTGGATGATTTATGTTTTACGGTGTATTTCTTCAACAATAAATGGCTGCAAAGGCTAACGCTTGAAAGTTTCATGAGGCATAAGACAAAATTCATGAGGTGACTATATCTGCAATGGGAAATGTGCTCGTTCAAGTATCAAACGAGTCCGCCTTGTTTCAGAAGACGTTTTTAGTTGGTTGAAACAGTTTATACAAGGACTTCAAACTGTTTGCTTTTTAATGATGTTCTGCACTGTTGGAAGCCACCCAGTAGATAACGAGCAAAAACATATCCACATAGTGACCCTTAGCAGTGTGACTGTTAGGGTGTTAGTCTGAGATTCTACACCATAACTCTCAATTAGTGCAGTGCTGTAGGTGAAACACGCCTCATCAAAGCAAAATCATTCTCCGGCTTATAAAACCCAGACCCCATGTAGTATTGAAAAGTGGTTTTCAAAGATATGCACCTTGCTCCACAATTTTTGTATGTGGTACATCCTATACCCAGATAAAAACAACTGTTGTCCATAAATAAAGTTATGCTGTCTTATATATAACAGAAAAGTGACTAAAAAGCCACTTTCTTTGCACAATAACACACTGCAATGTAGCAATCTAGCAAAGATGACTCGACGAGGACAACTTTACTGGACTTGTTCAGCTCTGTTAAACAAAGTTTGGTAAAACAACACAAGCCACGGTGTTGTGAATATAGTCAAAATATCAAAGCCCACCGTGGATACATGTAAGTCAGAAATGGCACAAAGTTTTTAACAAAAGGTATGACTGTGGGCATATACTTACCCAGCATTCAGGCAACGTATCCAGTGCATACAAAGAGGATACTCCCCAAACATTTCCCAGACATAACTGTGATAACACAACTGAGAAATGATTAACCTTGAGTTCTTCCCTCCCTCTCCATATCTGATATCAGCCACACTGCAGATAAAAGAACAAATACGCTGCATGTGTATTAGCTGGTATTACTGCATAATTGAGACACACAGACGGCAATGACTGATCTCTCTACTGTCCTGTCTTAATAAGAGCATGAACAGTTTCATGAGGATGGTAATAACAATTGATTATGCTTGATTAACTTACAGAAAGAACTCTTCCTCAAAAAAGGGGGTGGGGGTTTAGATGAAACCCATTTTTCTTCATTAAAAGGTGTATTAACCAGCAAGCTGCTCCACAGTATGAATCGATTTTAAATAAAGAATTTATGCCGTGGGGAAGAACAAGGGCTGTGAAATACACAACAAATGCACAAACATACCGCCAACATTATATTCTACAGTAAACTCAACAACCGCGTAAAACACTGCACAACTGTATCGTGGCACAAGCAGCTTCATTTTTCATTTTGCTGCAGTGAAGCACAGGTGTACTCCAGGAACTGGTGGCATCACTCATAGATGTGATTACAGGTGTTTAAAGTCTGACTTCCAACTGCATCCACATGTTTGACACTTTGAAGTTCAAAGTTCAAAGCAGTGAAATTCAGGTCTTCAATCACTAAGTTCACTTCTCTGCATTCGAATTGGACACAGTCGGTAAAATGCGCCCAAACTCCTGTACGCTGTGGGATAGCAGGTGCACTGGCTTTTTTATATTTTTATTCAGCATTCAAATCACTAGTGAACCAATTGGGGGGTTTTCTCGTTTATTAGATAATTTGTTAGCTCCCCTGTGTCTCTTGCTTTCTAGGTCAGTTTTGGGTACTTTAGATTTGGGTCTACTAAGTAGCTGGTTAGTTATGTTACATTGTTATCCTATGTTGGCATTACCGCTTGAGTTTAATCTGGTTTATTTGATCTCTTCTAAGGGCCCAGAGATATATCTGACTTCTTGCAAACTCTTTTTTTAATACTCATTGTATTAACCCTAACCCCCTAGTATATTCATATTCAGAATCTATTTATAAAGATTATAAAGTGATAATACTAAAAAGGCATTGTAAAAGCATGACTATGTTGTGTCTCTTATTTGTCACATAGTACATTCAATTCAAATAAGAATTTCAATATTATGCAACAGAAAGTCATAATTACAAGACACAAAATCGCTGTTATCTCTCCTGATGAAACAAAAAGTTCTGATACACTAGGTCATAACTATAAGAATATGAGGTCACAATTAGGAGAAATAATTTTGTTTTTTGACAAAAAGGTAATGACTCTATAAAAACAAAGAGACTTGCAGATCAGTGTCCTCTTTCTTCTATAGCCCTAGGTCCCAGGGTCCACATCCATACCTACAGCTTGTGACTCTTACATGTCTTTGGTCTGTGGAGCAACTACAGGAAACACACACGGGCAATGGGAGAAGCTGAAGTCAAACAAAGTCCAAACAAATGAGAACCAGGAGATTCAAACCTGGAACACGCTGCAACTCAGTGAAACCATTTAAGTACCATCTATTATGTTTGGGGACAAGGAACATAAACCTCCTTCATTTCATGCATGGAAACACTGCAGTCAGACAACATCAAGATCCTGGAACTCACCATGAAATTTGGTATATAGTACATCCCATCCAGGCGCTGGAAATGCAAGGCCTGAGCTCGCAAATGTGCAAATACCGTGCTGATAAGAGCTTGACTCTCGAAATATAAGAACAATGAAGTGTGGTCATCCGGCTTAACCACACACCACATTGTTCGGCCACATTCCTAGAACTCGTGTGAGAATGAGGAGCAAACCATTCACAAACGCAATAATCCAAAGTGAACATTCAGATGAAAGTATTCCACAGAGACATGTCGGAGGCTAATGTGCTATCAAAAGCAGTAACAACAATATTCCAACGCCAAAAAGAACAAACTGATTTTGTAGGCAGAAAGAACCATGACATGCTGCAGTTTTTTAGAGCACAACAACTTGGTGTTTAATCCTCAAAAAAGAAACCCTCCTCACGCAGCTTTTTCACTGGCTTTTTCAATGGCTTCTTTATTCTCCCTCAACCTCACAGTAATTACATTTTTAAACAGCTTGTGACAACTATTTATAATGCAAACACATGATTTTTTGGGATTTTTTTTTTACCAAAACTGCAAAGTACAGGCTCTACAACTCTTTCCCCATTTTTTTTTTTTTTTCTTTGCTTTGAAAACTGTCCTAAAGAAACATTTGGGTCAATAGCTGCCGTGGGGGAAAAAGATACTGCTGAGTAATGAAACTCGGGCTTGTAAGGTGAACACCCCCTTTGGGACAGCTTTTCTCAGCTCGGGAGTCTAGGTAACACAAGTATTAGATTGCCTGGGGGGGGGGGACCTTTCAGGAGGGGAAAAATCCATAGACCACGTCAAACCTCTGAATTCATACTTGAATTTTTATTTTTACAACAAAAATATTGAACCTAGGATGTCTTGTGTATTTTATACATTGTATGTTACACACTGGGGTTAAAATGTGCTCAGTCAAAGTATATATATATATATATATATATACTGCAATAATGTACAATAAAAATGACAGATATGGATATATTACAATAAAAAACAGCAGATAAATGGACTGGATCTTTTATTCATATACATATACAGTATAGATAGATAGATAGATTGTGCCAACAACACAAAGTTCATGTCCTAGCCTTGTTTTATCTCTGAGATCATTCTCTCTGGTGCTTTCTACTCCACTGACTTCACATAGTTACGACAGAAAGTTGTTGCTACTACTACAATGTCACTGTCAACAAAGTATTTTTCCACAAGTGGGAAAAAACAGGAAAGTTTCGAACGTTCCCCTGACGACAGCAGCATTCATTTTGTAAAAAGAAAAAATACATAAACAAGCGTAAGAGAAAGTAAACTCACCAGATCCTCTTAAGAATCTTTCTGTCCAGTGCCGGGGTTTCCCTGCAGATTCAGAGAGTAGCCATAGGTGCATAATTAAAAAGTAATCATTATCACATGAGACCCTGCTGGATAACTTAATTTGCTGAAGCTGGACATGAAAAGAGAAAGAACACAGCTCAGACAGGAACTCAGTCAATCATTGGCCTGATAGCATTACATAATGTTACTGCTGGAAGAAAATAATGATTTAACAAGTGCTGACCTTTGAACATCTCTTTACATCAACAGCACTTGACATCATTTTTAATCAACACATTTCCCTGACTGCACTTGTTTTTAATCTCATAGTATAGTATTTCACTTGCCTTTTTATTTGCTTTTCTCTAGCAGGTTGCTTCAAGAAGTCCAGCTGAGCTCCTTCTCACTCCAACACAAAACCTGTTTGAGTCAAGCTGTTTCTTTCTTCAACTGCTTTTCCTAAAGGACACCTTGCCGTGAACGCTGTGAACTTGGAAAATAGACAGATCATTTTTTTCACCCCCTATGTGCTAGAGAGACACAGGCCTACTTTACAGATGAGGATAGAATTATTAGCCCACCTATACATTTTTTCAAAGTATTTCCCGAGTGCCAAACATCCTAGTTTTATTTTTGATGGTTACATTGTTTAACTTTGTGCACAGAAACAAAATTATTCCACTAAAACTACAATGGTCAAAATTATTAGCCCAAATGATGTTAATTTTCATTTGTGTATCCTTTTTGCTGTTGTTAGGTGTTGTTTTCATGTCTCAAACACACCTCTAGAGTAACCCCAGTTCATTCTTCTTTGTCAAATCTCTCAAGCTTCTCCAGATTTGATGATCTTCTGACGTGGACCTTGCTCTTCAGTTCACCACACAGATTTATGTCAGTTTACTTTGGTCTTTAGTTCTTTACCAGAAGCGATATAAGGTCACTGTTTTGATGGAAGACAAAGCATACACTCACTCAGTTTTGCTGCTGACTACTTGAGGTTTTTCTTTCAAATATTTCACATATGCTTCTGCTTTCATGATTCCTTCCATCTTGATAAGATTCCCAGTTTCAGACACACTGAAGCATCCCCACAGTTCTTCTGCAAAAGTGCAATTTTTCTTAGCCTGCAACGTCACAGTCCATTGCTGTGCAGAGTGCTAGTGATTGTCTTAAGACTGCAAATCCTGACTTGTCAAAGTCAATCACTGGTGTCTTGGCAGTTATTCTGGGATCTTTAGACACACTCTTTCACTAGTTTTCTTCGCAGAGTCTTTGATATCTTACAGTTACTTCTGCCAGGCTTGTTCTGTACTGTGTGGCTCTCTTTCAATTTCTTGAAGATACTTCTCACTTCAGTTGTCATAACCGTGTTTATGCTTCGCTTTCCTGCTTTGTAAGCGTCAACAATTCTTTTTCTCAAGTCTAAACTTTTTCCTTTGTTTTTGGCACAATGCTTTCTCAAGTGCCAGCTCCCTGAAGTTGTTCTGCTGTGTGTAAATTGGAACATATCCATCAGTTTAACTTGATTTTACAAGCTTTGACTATTACAAAGTAAAAGCACATAATTTCAGTTGTTTGTGCTATGGCTCAATAAACAGTTTTCATGGAGCTAGAATTTGCCTGGCATTATTTTTTTACTTAAATTTTTTTTTAATTAAATAATCCATTGCACAACAAAAATCTGTTCTAACTATTGCTATAATAATGTGCTTTTATTGGTGCCATGAGGACCTCTAGGCAAGTACCATCAGCTTCTATTATACTAAAGAGTATCAAACAAGAGTATCAAACAGTATTAAAATCAAACAGCTGAATAAATAATGTAAAATGATAGGGATGTGTAAATGGTACTACAGGCCAGAGAGAAAATACGTTAGGAAACATTTCTATCACCTCTGCTTTGTTATATTTATGAAAAAGAGAGACTGGAAATTATTTGAATCATAAACGCCCTTTAAAGAAGTTCATCGGCTCTGGAGGCCCCTCTAAGTAAACATCTACAGTTCAAATCTATTCATGTTATTCATGTTTGCCATGAAGCTGTGCTGAAAATTCTCAGTCCAAACTCCAGGTGTTTAAAAGGATTACTGCGTGACAAGAAAAATGCATAAAAAGTTTTTTTATTATTATTAATAATAATAATAATAATAATAATAATCATCATCATCATGAGTCTGTTCCACTTTGTAAGTGGATGCATAAAGACATAGAAAAAAAAAAAAAATTATGAGACAAGCAATGAGAGCCCAGACAAACGCACAGCAACAACACAGGACCTTCAACTAAACAGGCAGCATCTTGATTGTACACATACTTCTCTCAGTTCCTATTATTGCTTCCCAGTCCAACAAGAAGAAATGTGAACCACAAAGTATGAAACCTAGGACAAAGCCAAAAGGCAAAGATTCACCCACCTTAAAACTTTGAAAATAAAGACTGACAGGCAGTTGCAGTTGGAACCAGTTACAGCTAATTTCAGGAATGTAACCAACGGGTTTTGTTTGTTTCCAACATACTTTTGTTCAATTAAAGGAAAAATATGATTATGGTTCTTCCTTTAAGCCAGAAAGCATTGACCCCAACCACAGTTTATACCCATGGAATGATGAGCTCATTAATATTTTTTTGGGTCCATCATGCTTAAAGTGCTGTAAAAGCACACATTGTTACACGTTTCCTCTCTGTAAGCTGAGGTTATTTGCATTAAACAGATCACATGTGGTACCTTTTATCTTTTTTACTGCTCAAAATCATTTACAAGTTTGGTGTTTATAAACAGCATTGAACACTTTTTAGGCAGGGAAAATACAGTTAAAGGAGAAAAAAAAAAAAAGAAGAGGGAAAAAAAAGATTCAATTCAACAGTAGTCCTTGTCCCTGGAGATGTGGATGTTTGTCTGCTTGAAGCTCAGTATGTAATAGTCCACTGCTTGACACTGGCGTCATGGGAGGTGGTGACCAGAGTGTGAGCATCTATCCAAGCCAGGCCGCTAACGTGGTGCAATCGGTGAGCGTCTGCAACAAAGACATCACAGCAATTAAAAAAAGAAAAAAAGGAAAAGAAAAAAAAGCAGCCATCTTCAACTAAAAGAACCTGGGTTTAATAAAAGTTTCATTTGTTTAAACATCCCATACTGACTGAGATGTGAGTTACAACTCTTTAAGAAATCAAGCCTGGTTTTGCTCCTAAATTTTAAGAAGCAGATTCAACAAACTGAGTTTATAAACTTTGTAACAGTTTAGGACCATTTCATTTATTTTTACCCTCTTTTCAATAATTGTTCAGTAAACATTTAATATTAAAAAGCTTATTCCTTATTGAAAATAACAAAGAAAAATAAAGGTAACATTCCCGCTGTGTAACTGCACCCATATGCAAACCCTAATTGCAGATCCAGTTCAGAGTCACTGCAATCTACGATGACCAGATGTCTCTTTGTGGGACTGCACAGCATTTTTATTCATTCTCCTCATCACACATTTTCACTGGTTCTGCAGGACATGCACTTTTTTTTTTTTTTTAAGTCTGTCTGGTACTCAACGTATATAAAGTAAAGACCCCAAAAAGGCACAAGCAGTTTGTTGATAATCATCATGAAAGCTACCATAAAGAAAATGAAGTGTCTGTATATTCTGACAAGTAGTTTGTCTTTTTTGATGGTTATTTTTCAGTTTTAATCTCCAAATGTGACAGGCATTTTCCATCACTGTGACAGATTACAGTACAACAGATCATTGATCAGTGTGCTATGTGGCTGATTTAGACACTGATTACTACAGTAACACACAGAAAATATTTCAGAGGAACTGGGTGACGGACACCTGCATCACTGTCCAGAAAGACTGAGACTAGAGTTTTATGAATAAGCCATGAATCGTAATCCTCATCCTGGTACATCGATGACTGATTATATATAAAACTGGGTTTTTGCTTATCTCAGGGTTAAACTCAGTTGTTAGCCGAACTTGCTTCCTGGAAGAGGGCCCTGTTCTGTAATGTCTTTATTATGGGTCCATTCAGCCAAGCATCAGCTCTCATTTTTTAGTAGTAGAGTTTGCAGTTTCTGTGAGATTTATACTGCACAAAGCATTTGTTAGAATTCACCACCCAAACAGCTTCACAGTTCAGCACTGAATCTACTGCAGTCACAGTTACTGCTGATCCAATAAACACATTCAATACTAAGTATTCAAATGGTAAAACAGAGGTCGGCTATATTTTAAAGCTGTCACAGAAAATGTGACGGAAGCCACTCAAACCATTCATTTATCTAAAGAACGTATACATGTTTAAATCAATTATTCAACAGCGAAATATTTTCATGAGTAAAATTTCCTCTGACAGTTCCCAGGAAAGTTGCTTTGGGGTTACTTAACAGCATTTGGTTTTCTAACAGCTTTTGCTGTGCCCAGCGTAAAAATCAGACCACAGCTGTAATAGTTTTTGACGGTTTTGAAAACGATGCAGGTTTGTTCAGCTGAAGTGTAATCAGATGCAGTTTCTTCATGGTTCCGTGAAATGAGCCAACAGCAAATGTATAAATGTAGCTGAGCTATAGTTACTCCTAGTCTTTTTTTAAAAACACGCTTAGATGTGTTGAGTGTGGATTGCTTGCGAGACCGACCTGGGATTTTGAGCCGCTGGTCTGGATCGCTAACAGTCCAGACGTAGACCAGCATGTCCATCCCACCAGTCGCAAAGTGCTCGTTATCGGGTGACCAGGCCAAAGTCACAGGTTTGGCATGGTGTCCATAAAACTCATTTTTAACCTGATGGAAAAAAAAAAAAAAAAGAGGCAATCATTTTAAAAAAAACAAAAAACGTAACAGGCAGCAAACAGAAGACAGGATGATTAAGGCAAATATTTACCGAATAGCCGTCTGCCACGTTAAAGACAGTGATAACCTTCTTGTCATCAATGGCAGCCAGATAGGCGCCATCATTCGAATAGGCCATGTCTGTAATGGGCCCTTTGACCTCAAGAGCTTTCCCCTCATCTTTCAGAGTGTTGCCCTGAACTGAGTACAGGTGAACTTTTCCATCCTAAGGAGAAAGAAAGAAAAGGAATCCAGAGTCCAACCATGCTTTTCTGTGATAGCTATAGTGTGTTTTTATTAAATGGAACCATCAAACATTGACCGAATGTAAACATGTGGCGAGATTATCTGTGTCCACTTACTGCTCCGCCCACTGCAGCAGTGGTGCCGCCAGGATGCAAAACTCCAACCTCTGCTTCATAGCCAAGATTGTCCAATGTGAAGACTTTCTTCTTATCCTTCACAAGGACAATCTACAAGGAGCCATGAATAACAATGCGGTCATTATTCCACAAACAAAAATCACCAACCTTGCAAGTGCAAGAATGACTGGATCTGATTTATGCACGCAGTAATGACTGCAGCAAAGACATTACCTGCCCAATGCACACAGCCAATGACAGCCCACCTGCCCCTACGGACACACTTTTAGGCTGGAAATCCATCTTCACCACATCAGAGGCACTAGAAACCAACAAAAGAGGTTATTTATGTGAGGAGAGGAAGAAGAAAACAACAACAACCCTCTCAAAAAAAAAAAAGTACTTTCTTAGCCTTCCACCCTGTCCTTCACCTGATCAAGGACAAACTTCTGTTTACTAGACCAAATGTAAAATAATTAATAAAATGGATTATTCATAAAGCCACATCATGGCCCCTCACCTGTACTCCTTCTTGCTGATGCTGGTGTAGCGCAGTGTATCATCCATGCTGCACGTCACCAACTCATTAGCTTCATCAGTCACGATCTTGCTAACCTGGTTGCTGTGACCTTTTCCTGAGAAGCAGTCGTTCTCTCCAGTTTCTGCATCCCAGTAATGTGAGGGATAAGTTAAGGAACGTTATCCATGTCTGCAGTTATTCTATGTAAATATGCAAGTCTGAGAAATGCCTGCTGCTTCAGGTTGTAAAAATGTAATTGTTCAATTTAAAGAGCTCAAATTATTTTAACAATTTGATTTTTTTTTTTTTTAATTTTGATTAAAACTCAGCTCCTGCACAACGTGAATCAAATCTACATTGATAGAAATCAATTAAATTTGATGAATGGAAAAAGGGCACATTATATTATCACTACAAGTGTGTAATGACCTTGTGTTAAACAGAAAAAACATCAAACCTCTTTTATATTGAAAACAATTGAGCAAGATTGGAGCTTACATGCAGGACAGGACGCCTACGCATGTCCCACTGAGTGACCTTTATAGTCATTAGTGACAATCAGTAAGTGTTGAAAGGATATTTATGTGTCCATCGTGACTCCCCGAGTAGATGTACGGCCGCCCTTCATTTTTGTGAACAGTCACACACTGGATGGACTTGGCATGACCCTGTAGAAAGAATAAGCACACATTTGGATATGGAAAGGTATACAAGACATTAACACTACAGTATTGCATCCCCACACAAATGAAAGACAGCACAGAGAACTGAAAACATTCATCTTTGTAATAGCCACAGTGCACATTTAGATGCTTCTGTGAGAAGTTTATGTAATGACTTATTTTCCTGTCTTACCTACTAAACAACACACGTGTATGATGGATACATCAGGAAGATGTGTCACAAGACACTTCTAGCCTCCTCACACCGACACCCTCCATGTGTAAATGTTGAGCACACTGCTCTTTCATCACTAAAAACTAATTTCTCTTCCCATTTGAAAACAAAAAAAAAAAAACTTGTATGAAAACAAGCAACTCCGTAAAGCAGGATCTGCAGTGTGCATTTGCACTCTTAGGCATGCAGTTTGAACCATCGCTATGCAAATATTGATGGCGATTTACATTTAACAGATGCCAAGTTTGGTTTTCAAACACTGTAGAAAATGTTTTTACTATGACACTTTAATTTCCATTGTATTTCAGAAGCTCAAACACAGTTAAAAAAAAAAAAAACTAACAAAACTGCCATTATCATCATGATCAAATCACTGATTCTATCCAGAAATAGCATCCTTTAATTCTTGAGACTGACCTTAATTGTGCGTATGGGCCGGTTGGGGTTGTTCTTGTCCAAGTAGTTGATGTATCCTGACAAGGAGATGCTGAGGAGGTGGTCTTTCTGCCACAGGCA